ATGTTTTCTGTTTTTTTGTGTGATTGTTTTCCCAATTTAGGATGTCCTGTTAACTGTTGGAATTCTCACCAGTGACAATGCAACAGAGGCATGGAAATCTCTGAACGAGGATACCACAAACAAAACGGTCACCAAAAGTACAACACCTGAAAGAAAAAGCCGAAGCTCATCATTGTTAAAATCAATTGAGGACATCACCACAAACCTTAACAATGAATCTTTCAACATTGCCACAGATTTTATTCTCTTAAACAAAACTACATTCAACGACACCTTTGATGAGGACTTCAATTCCTCAGTGGTGGTGGAAATAACAGAGGCTGATGACAAAAAGAGGTCAATCACTGTGATAACATTTAGCTCCATGGATAACGTACTCCCTCCAAGAGAGGAGGACAATTCATCGTCTAATTCCATAAACGGCAGGGTTGCACTTATTCAGTCAAGTGGCGAAATCAGCAATATCACAATTACGTTTGATGTTATCAATGACACTCTGGGCAATCCTAAATGTGTGTTCTGGAACTTCAGCCTCCTAGACGGTCTTGGAGGATGGGACGACGAGGGCTGCTCATTGGCGTTCTTTGAAAATGATACTGTCAGCTGCAACTGCAACCATCTCACCTCCTTCTCTATCCTAATGTCCCCATTCATTGATAATGACCCGGCATTGGCCTACATAACCTATATTGGAGTTGGCATCTCCATGGGTTCTTTGGTCATATGTCTCATCATTGAAGGTTTCATATGGAGAAAAATCAGAAGGGACCCTACATCTTACTTGCGTCATGTTTCCATAGTTAACATTGCCGTGTCTCTCTTAATTGCAAACATTTGGTTCATTATCGGAGCAGCCATTTCAGAGAAGAAACCACTTAATAATGAAGCGTGCACCGCAGCAACATTTTTTATCCATTTTTTCTATCTGTCCCTTTTCTTCTGGATGTTAGCCTCAGCTCTGCTGCTGCTCCACCGTACAGTCAGTGTCTTTGATGGAGGGTCCAAAATGGTTATGTTGGCTATTGGCTTCTCTCTGGGATATGGAGCACCTCTTATCATAGTAACAATAACAATAGCAGTAACCGCACCTGAAAAAAACTACATCAGGGACGAGGGCTGCTGGCTGAAGTGGGATGAATCCAAAGCTCTGTTGGCATTTGTCATCCCTGCATTGCTAATTGTGGTGATAAACCTCATAATCTTGGTTATAGTGATATACAAAATGCTGAGGAGAAGGGTAGTGGGGAATGCTGCACAAGCAGCTGAGAAGCATGTCCTTTTAGTTATTGTTAAGTGTTTGGCTGTGCTTACCCCATTCTTTGGATTGACATGGGGCCTGGGGGTTGGAACCATGACTGACCCAAACAACGGAGGAATTCATTATGCATTTGCAATCTTCAACTCACTGCAGGTACAAATTTAATAGCTATAAATACTAAACTGTTTATTACACTTTAGTATTGTTTGTTCTTGAATGTAATTGAATCATTTCATCACTGACATTACTTTGTGTTTCTTTAGGGCTTCTTCATATTGGTCTTTGGAACACTGTTGGACAAAAAGGTATATGTGTAAAAATTGATACTAACTTTATTCATGGGGAAATCTAGTCTCATGACAATGTGGGGTTCTGAGCCAAATTAACAACTGTAGTACTAGGATGCAACTCTATTCTGTAAATTCCAAATACTTACTAAAAGACTCTTGTGTGTTAACAACTAAAACTTTTCCTACTGAAACTTTCCTACTACTGCAGTTGAAAGTCTTATATATTTAGGAGATCCTTTTAACTGTAGGGATTCTCACCGGCAACAAGAGCAGGAAAAACTTCTTCAGCTTGGAATCGTGCAGTTATATGACTTTCTTTAATGTGTATGCACAGGTTTGTAAAGCAGCTCACACATTTTTTACTTTAAAATTTTCAGGTGCGGTCAGAATTAACAA